GGCCTAAATGATTACATATATTATTTTGGGGCTCCTTGTTATAATTATAGTAGAATGGGCCCCAGAAACCCTATTCTAATTATGAAGGCCCCTACATTACGACACCCAGAGGTCACTCACAAGAGTTCAGGGTCTCTGGCTGGGAGCCTTCGCGTGCAGCCCACTTGCAGCAGACGGCGTGCAAGGAAGACACGGGAACAAGCCATCCATGACGCAAAGCGTTTGGGGCTACGGGTCCAAGCCTTTCCGTTTAGACTGTTGAAGATTGGGGAGCGCAAGCTGGAATGGGTGACGAGGTCACTGCGCTTTACTCTGGCCGGCTTGAGTTTCCAGTTGTTTGTGGGCTTTAGGTTGCTGGTATAGGTTGAACAAACACAATCCGTTAGTTGCCTTCGGGTACAAAGGTGGAACAAGGTTGGCAGTCCATGAAATGGGATCCTTTTGGGGATGTGCGATGTGCTGCACCTGGACCCTCAAGTACTTGGCCGTTTTGGACCGTATATTGCTCAATGTAAACTATGTGCTTCAATTCAGGGTGTCGACTGTTTAAGTTTAACCTATCAACGAACTGTCGGATGCTGTCTACAGGCTCACAGCCCACAGCTTCCAAGTTCCGTGAAGAAAGACCATCAGCTTGATAGAACTACAGGCGAATATATCGGGCCTCAGTAATTAGAACGGGATTAGTATACTATGATAACTATAACAAGGAACCCCAACATCCCAATGTGAGGGACTAATTCGTTTAGGGCTTAGGGCTATGGTGTCGAGTTAGGTCTCAGGGTGTAGGCTGGAACAGAACATGACCGGGACTGTGTAAATAACACTTCACAAAGACATCCCCCTCGTCGTCGCCATGAAAAGCCAAAACTGAGGCTGAACACCCTAGACCCTGAAGCCTGGATTATCGATCCCCTTGGCTGCGCAGCCTGAGATACGAGTCGTTACAAACAAAGCATCGTACTTGCGATTCCTGTTCACTGAAGGCTGGTTGCTGTACAAACACCGAGCCTCAAGCCACAGATAGAGCTGCCTGCTGCTGCTCTTGCTGCTATTCTTGCTGCTGTTGATTCCCAGAATCATGCAACCTATCCGTAAACCCTACATCCTAAGTCCTAGACCCGCTCAATTGCGGCTGAAGATTGTCGTCCACCCGGAGCACCCAAGAAAAGCAACATGCTCAGGCCTGCTCCGCGACACCTAACTTCCAAGGTAGTTTAGGGTTTAGGGTTTGGGGTTTAGGGTTTCTCAAAATCACTGTCCCTTGCTGGATCAAGCACTGTATATGTCACTCTTTTGGTAACGACCGGGCAAAGAGACCGTAATTTAGAAAACCTCGTTAAACTCCCGAACCGACACACTCTACGTAAACCCCTGAACCCTAAGCCCAAAGCTCAACGGCCCAAAAACACCCCGAAAGGCCTGAACCCTCACACGCAAACTATCTGGGAGAGTCGGCACCTTTTCACTGGCGGGAAACGAACCCGATCGCCGAACAGGCGCCGGATGAAGGCCGGGCGGGCTCACGGCAGTTTAAGACAAGAGTGCACATGAAGGAGCCATTTCTCTTAGCAAGCATGTAGACTATCCCTGACGAGGGTACGTATACCTCCACTTGAAACCTGCTTCGCAAGACCTAAGTCCACGGTAGTTTCTGCATGTCAGTCCCGAATCTTGCGATATCTCGACTTTCGCACCCAACAAGTTCGCATTACCGCATGTTACATATACCGTGAGACATGTGCATATTTTCCGGACACCTTCCAATCTGCAACAGTCCTAAATCAGCAATCCGACAGTTGCTGATATAGGCCGCGCAGCATGCAATCTCCAATGCTTTCCAAAAAGCGCACATGAATCAGAGGAGCTATGAACCCTGTACCCTATACCCTAAAAGCCCTCTCTAGCCGACGACGACGACCGGCGAAAGGCGCGTTTGCGACATGGCGATGCCATCCTCCTCACTCCGGGGCGGAGGCTCAACGGGAGCTGCGGATTGTGCAGAATTCCTGGGCGCTTTTAAGTAGCTACTGTAGACTTAGACACTTCGGACCGACCGAGATCTGAGACACAACTACCGTTTGCATACAGTCCGTTGTCTTGCTGAACAGAAAACTAGCGAGACTCGCAAGCCGCTGTCAAAACCAAAACCAAGGCTGCCGTGGCTAGAGTGTCGAAGCTCAACAGCACCATCTGTAAATGTCATGTTCAAGCATCTTTGCTGTAGCTCCTAAATAAACTAGACTGAGTACATTTGATCGTAAGCCATTCCTAAAGACTCTGATCGCATCTGGTTGTAAGCCATGCCTCTGCAGCATGGGAAGTCCCACACAACAAAGCGCCGCAAAGAAGGCCATGATTCCCTCAAGGATTCAAGCTTGAGGGTTTTCCCGCTAAAGCCTACCTTTTGTCAGGACTACTATGTTATCATGATGCTTACAAAAATTCTCAAGAAGTTGATAAAGGTTTTTTAGGGCTCTGGTGGGGTTTGGGGTTGAAGGGGCCTAGCCAGCTTCACACACATTTACACCAACGAACTGCGGTCTGTGAAACCACGAGCAAATATGGGTAGTTGTCTGAATTAGGGTCCCTTCCAGGGTCCTTGGGTCCGTTTTGTTTTGGGAACCCACAAGGGACCCCAATCTAAAGACCTACCCATATAATGCATTGTGACGTGGGAGCTTTGGGACAGAGTCATCTGCTGGGGTGTTCATATTTAAAGGGGCCAGGAAATCATCGCCAGAGGGTCTGGAATTAATTCTAGTACGCTTTAAATTAGGGAGTCCTAGGGAAGAGGATGTTCTGACTTATTTAGGCTTCCATGTTAGCTGTCTCATTTCGGGTCCGTGCTGTAGGAGCTTTCGCTAGGTACCTTTGAAAGAGCTAGCCAGCTTTGGGGCACTCAGGGGCCAATCAGGGGCCATTGCATCCAAAAACCCCCTCAAACGCCTAAACCCTAAACCTTAGACCCTGAAACTATTCAACCCTAAACCCAAAAAAACAATCCCAAAGCCCTCATTGCCCGCAGAATCTAGCTGCGATAAGTAGGCGCATGGAGCTCCAGTCTTCAAAGTCTGTGATCGCGTTTTGGGCTCCTCTGTAGTATGCATACATACATATATATATA